TTGGAATTTTATAAATATGCCTAAAAGTTGTGAGTTTTATTGTTATTCAAAACTGTGCGAAAGTATATACATTATAAATGGATGTATTGTACAAAATGTTTTAAAAATGATCTGTTATTAATCTAATAAAACATTTAATTTTCATCACTCTCATCATTATCTTCTGCCTCGCCTTGATCGAAAATTGGAGAACAATAACAAATGTCCAACTTTTCTGTTTAGGTTGGTAACAAGCGAGTATTGGCAACATTTACTTGGTCAAAGTTACCGCGAAAAGTCGACTGATTTGAATTTATGAAAGCACTACATTGCATGTAGCGCATTATTACTTAGATAACTAAGTAATACCGCCAACCTGTGCGTATACAGAATTTCTCGCTTGGTGCCAACCCAAATTCGAGGCCTCGGCCAATTTCCGAATGTACACATACATATACATCGAACTCGAATACGTGTGTGTATGTATATTATTAAAATACTTACTCAAATCAGTTCACAAGTAAATAGTAAAGTAGTAAAGATGCTGGTAATTTACCCGCTCCGAAAATTTTACCGAAAAAATGCGATTAATTTTTTTATCATAACTTTTGTAAGTTTAAAGTTATAAATTTACTCAAAAAATCGTTTTGTAGGGAATTTAAAGCACTTTAAGTTCTGTGATTTGCAGTTTTTTGAGCCCTTCGTTTTTTAGATGTGTAAGGTAAAAGGGNTAATTTTTTTACCATAACTTTTGTAAGTTTAAAGTTATAAATTTACTCAAAAAATCGTTTTGTAGGGAATTTAAAGCACTTTAAGTTCTGTGATTTGCAGTTTTTTGAGCCCTTCGTTTTTTAGATGTGTAAGGTAAAAGGGCTCAGGAAAGACAGTCTTGGAGCTTAGTTTTCAGCTTCTGAACTCTGTCAAATTTTGTCCTACAAAAATTTAAAACAAAGCTGATTGTTCAGTAAGAAAAAGCCTACAATTTCTTATTCTATCATTTTTTAATGACTTTATTAGTTTTTGAAATATTTTGAAAATAGGCGATTTTTTAAAAAATTGAAAAATTTTATTCAAAAATAAATGAAATATTTTTTAAATTTAGGCTTCTAAATTCGTTCAAATTCCCAGAATCTACTGTTAATACATAAATAAATGAAATTGCAGAAGGAATACGTTATATTTTTCCGTCGTAATTAATTTTAATACCGATTTTTTTTCCTCAAAAATCAAGACAATCATTTATTTTGATTGTAACTTCATTATTTATTTATCGGTCAGTAGCCGCACGGTTTAAGGCGTCAGTACTTAAATCGATGGGTACTAAATCTGCCCGGGTTCGATTCCCGCGGCCGGTAAACCGTAAATTAGCTATGCTTGTGCAGGTATGGTAGGGTGGAAGAATGTTGGCTTGGGTCAATGTGAGAGATTGACAGCGGTTGGAATTTGACCGCCCCCCTAACTAATGAGGTTTTCCAGGTTTCCCTCATTCCTGTACACTGAATGGTGGTTAGGGCCTACTAACACAAATCGTTTCTGGGTGCAAATGCGGCCTGCTTAATAATAATAATATGCCGCCTCCTCTCCCGCACAAGTCTCTAATTCTCGTGGTTAGAATGAGGGGTAGATTATTATTATTATTATTATTATTATTATTATTATTATTNACTACAGACAACTGAACAGCATTACGGAAAATGAGGTATCAGTGTTGCCTCCAATACCGGATATACTAAAGGACCTTGGGGACGCAACTGTATTCACGACTTTAGACCTTAAGAGCGGGTACTGGCAGGTACCCATGGAGCCTGCCAGTACACCGATGACAGCGTTTCACACTCCCGACGGTGCGTTATATGAATTTGTGGTAATGCCGTTTGGGCTTAAAAACGCACCGTCAACGTTTCAACGCTTGATGGCAGAAGTATTATCTGGATATGTAAATCAATTCCTAAACGTCTACCTAGATGATATAATAGTATATTCCCGAACAAGAGAAGAACACAGACGACATCTCCACCTGGTTCTGGAGCGACTGAGGTGTCACAGTTTAACCTGCTCGTTAAGAAAGCGTAGATTTGGGATGTATTACTAGCGTCATTGTAATCTTAAGGACGTAATTAAGCGACCTATTAAAAAATGTCACCGTTTTTTTGACATTAACATTCTCAAATAGTGCATTAAAAAACCGTGCGTTTTTCGCTTATAAACAATTTGAAAAAAATTGTTGCTATTTATGCTACCTCACCGAAAATAGATTCAATGGATAGCTGGCAAAAAAAAATACAAATTAAAAAAAAGCACCCTCTACGACCAACAGGAGCCAAGATAAGAATTTTTTTTAAATCGTAGCGCAATTGTTTATAAACATAAAGACTTGAATTTTTCACAAAATTAAGTTTACGACGTAAACTATGATTTCCCGTAAATTGCATTGAAGAATGTGGAAAATTAACGTCTAAGCCCTTTAAAGAGAAGGTACCTGCTAAGTAAACTGTCCGGTGGCGGTGTGGTGATGGGGGAAGCTCGTCCAAGCGAGTTGCGCGCGCGAGAAAAGTGACATCCAAAGTTCAAATTGATGCGCGCTGTAAAATTTTGCAATATCTCAGCTTCTCTTCATCGTAGAAACTTATTTTTTTAAAACTGGGGTAGCTCGACGAAAAAATATCAATGGGCATATTTAAGAATTCGTAGAATAGCCCTGAACCCGAGAACAAATGCATCTTTTATACTTAATTTTTTTTAATTTACAAAAATGTGACAAAAATTATTGTTAAATAAAATATTAATTAAAATTTCAATTTCGGAACTATTTTACTATTATTAAATAAATAAATTAAATTCATTTAAAAAGTTATTTTTTACATATTAAGCCAAAGTAAACTTATTTTTTCAATATTTAGTTAGTTATTTAATTACGATTTAAATGTAAAATTAAAGTAAAAATTCGCAAATTATTTTCATTCGCATTTAAATGGACCATATAAATAAAAATTCATTAAAAAAGTAATTGTGATTAATTTAATTGCCGTTGAAATTAATTGCAATTGAACTCATTTGTGATTATATTCAAAGCTGAATGATTAACTTTTGATTATTATAATTTTTTTCGTAGGATGTTTATATTTTTAAAAGATTTGCTTAAAATATCTAACATAAATTTCACAATTTTTTCTTATTTCCGATCATTTTGTCTTAAAACTAGTTAAGTCCAAAATATAGTGAATCTATGAAGCGTGTTGAAAATAGAAAAACAGTAGATTTTTTTATATTTATCAGTATTTCGCGGCAGGTGGTGTGGAAAATTGCTTTTTAAAATAGATTTGACAACAATGCATACTGCACTTTTCAACTTATTGTTAGTGAATACATGTTTAAGAGAAATCATTTATTTTTCTAGATTCTTATTTTAATTGTGCTTTTGTTTTTGTGTTAGTTAAGTATTAAATAAACACGTAATCTATTTCTGAAAGTATTTCTGCCAATCGAGTTCTCGTGTCTCTATTAATTTACATGTAATATATTTGTATTTAAGTTTTTAAACATCCTCAAAAAAGGTGGGACAAGAAAAGTACACAACTATTTAATTATATAATAACTTTAATGTTGATGAAAAAATTATATATACATTATATATATACATTAGCAACATATTCCTTCTCTACAGACGGAAGATACCTTTTACAGATTTAAACCACGAATGACTTTCTGGGGCCAAAGAGGGCTCATCAGTTGGTGGTGGCGGTGGTGATGGTCCGCCACTTGGTGGGGATGGTCCGCCACTGGGTGGAGATGGTCCGTCGCTTGGTGGTGGTGGTGGGGATGGTCCGCCACTGGGTGGAGATGGTCCGCCACTGGGTGGAGATGGACCATCGCTTGGTGGTGGTGGGGGTGAAGATGGATCGTCTTTAACGATAGGCTCGTCACTTGGACGTGGTGGTGGGGATGGTGGCGATGGTCCGTCACTAGGTGGGGATGGTCCATCGCTTGGTGGTGGTGGTGGGGGTGAAGATGGATCGTCTTTAACGATAGGTTCGCCACTTGGTGGTGGTGGTGGGGATGGTCCGCCACTGGGTGGAGATGGCCAATCACTTGGTGGGGATGGTCCATCGCTTGGTGGTGGTGGGGGTGAAGATGGATCGTCTTTAACGATAGGTTCGCCACTTGGTGGTGGTGGTGGGGATGGTCCGCCACTTGGAGGGGATGGCCAGTCACTTGGCGGGGATGGTCCATCACTTGGTGGTGGTGGGGGTGAAGATGGGTCTGCCTCTACGTAGGGTACTACTTTTATATGTTGATGGTCTTGGGGGGCATGTCTCCATTCTTCATGGTGGTTGTGATGCTCACGCCTGTGATCAATCCTATGGTGATCTTCAGGTCTAAAGTGAGGCACAGCCTATAAAACAAATCAATCTTTAACTAACAGTGTTTTCATCATAAATAGTCAGTATGGGATAAGATACTAACACAAATCATTGAACCATTTGGTTGGTGAGTAATATCAGTAGGACCAACATAATTAAAATATTTACAAGTTTATTATATAATACTTTCGGTTATACCAGAAATCGATACCAAAGTTTTTGTTTCGGCTGGATTGCCCATGTCTTTAATATATTTTTAAATCCTGTTATATTTTATACTTTAAAATTAAATGTTCAGCATTTTTCAAAACTATTTGTTTCTCAGGACTATTTTCAAAGGTATTTTTTATAATAATTAAGGCACATAATTTTTTATGGATAATAATGTGGACAGTGTTATTCGACCTAAGGTATTATTATCCTATAACACCCGTGATGCTTTCCACGTTTAAATCTTACTAGCCTTTTATTTAGTAGGTGATTATTTTGTTACATGTAGTTGGTATCACATTTGTTTGATATTTAATCAATGTAAAGTATTATTAAAGCGTTATCTCTCATTTCATGCGCAGACTAATTATACAGTATGCAAATGAAAATTCCAATTCACAACTAAATGTTCAAGTGAATGGAGTTATACGAATGTTATACGAATTTTATTATAAACGTGTGAAAGAGATATCATTGTTTGCTGTTTTATTTACAAATTTTTCTACAGGTTTTCCAAACACATTTTGTTCGGGAGATGCCCAGATTAAAACAGATTCCTTAGTAGGAGAGACAAAGATAGGACTGACAAAAATTTTACAGAGGTTTGGTAAATATACCTGGTTATTTAATCAAAGTATATGTATAATTAAATATATGAGCAAATTACAGTCAATTTGGACAAGCTGGACAGTATGAATAGTTAAATTTCAAATGAGTATATCTTCAATATTGGTAAAAATGTTGACATTGTCGGAAAGTTAGTATAAAAATTGTAGTTATTCATCACTACTTGTAATATTGTAATATACATAAAAAAATCTATATTAATAAATTTTGCGAAATCTTTTCATATGAGGTAGGCAACTTTTGAGAAACAGTTTTATTTTTCTTTAATTTCTCTTACTGAGGTCAAGGACTAAAATTTTATATTTAACCCACGGCCAGCAAAAAAATCACAGTCAACCTGTGCAACTTAAGAAAAGACAAATGAATAATTTGGAATGCTTACCTGCACTGCTAGGACTACTGCTAGAGCCACAAGAACAATGCTCTGGAACTTCATCTTTGATGAGTGTGATCTTCATTGGGTTTGAGCTGTATTTATATTTCTCTGTGGGGGATATCAATAGTCTCCGTCTCTCTCTGTTCACATTGGTTTTCGGGAATAAAAATAGCGACGATTTTTACTGATAATACAATAGATATCAGTGCTTGACCGACTAAAGTGTTAGATAAGCGCCAAGAAATTTTATTTTTATCGAGATTGAAATTTTTGTATAATTACCATCAAATGTTGAGACCGTAAATGAAATCGGGTCTTTAAATTTCTTTTATGGAACATCTATTACTACCATCTATTACTACTTCGGGCTTCCCCCGAAGGGGTTGGCACGCCTTCTACACTCCTTCTACTTCTATACCCTTCCGGACACAGATCTGCGTCATAAAAGCATCCATAGAGGGGTGAAAATTACTCTCTGCTGGACAGGGTGGGGAAAGGTGTGGGAGATCAAATTTTTCCTGTTTTTAGAAGCAGAACAGCCCTTACCTGCTTTGTTCGTCCAGCAGAGCCTCCTCTAGGGGATTTGTTCTTTGGCTCCACTAGATCAAATTCGCAGATTTGGCGAGCGAGAATTAGTTTTGTTAAAAGCGGTAGAAAATAGATTTCCATTTAACGGCATACAGTTATTAGGTAGTATTTTCCTGGAGAAATATCGCGTGGTTCGCGAAATTTGATAGTTAATAGTAGGTTTTGGCATAAAATATAATTTTGGTGACGTTTGTTGACAATTCACTCGTGGAAAAGCCGGAGGTTAGCAAGAAGAGTGAAAGAAGGGCAGTTATATGGTGACGGGAAGTCAGGAACTGGATGGAGAGTCCGTATTACGCGAGCTGTTACGCGAGAGAACTGGTGATAGCGTGGGAGACCCTAAAAGGGCTAGAACCGCGAGGAAAGTGGTGAATAGTAGTCGTGAAAGTGGCCAATCGGTTGCCACTAGTCTCGTAAACGAGTTAATAGACAGAAGTGTTAAGAAACTGAAAGTTAGACAATATATCTGTGAAATTAAACTTACCCAGTGTGTCATTTTTCTTAGACTAATAACTCGTCACCTACCTTTTGGTGGTAAAAGAAACTTACCTGCTTGTACTTACCGATTTTGTCACTTAGTTTACCTCATTGTACTTACTGATTTTGTCACCAATTTACCTGATTATACAGACCGATTTTGTCACCTGGTTACCTGAGTCTCCCAACGAAGTATGACATCAAGATTACGCGAAGGGGCTTGCGCCCTCTTATCAGTAGACCAATTGAACTCCGAGCGGCTACGTGAGTCCTTAACCTCGACAGAATCCCTCGAGGGCGACTTTGCTGAACCAAGTGCTCGAGGGGTCTCAGAGGATACCTTGAGCGTGACCGCAGATGTCTCAAAGATAAATCGGGATTTGAGAGAGACAGTAAGAGTTGAGAAATTAATAAATTACCCGGTTCAAGTCGCCGGAGGGTCCCATGGCGCCGCGCAGGCGGTCACATGGCGCCCAAGCGCACTACCCGAATCCACGACGTGAGAGTATGGAGTCGCAAGCTCTACGGACTGAGACGTCCACTCAAACCAGAAACATTATGGACTGGCTGGTAGCGCCAGAGGATAATACGCCTGTTCTGGGTTAGAGGCCTAAATTGACCCAGTGGCGCCCAAATGAAGAAGAAGAAGAAGCTAGTGGAGAAAAAAGATCGGTAAAATTGTTCACCGAAGTTATGGAAAAAGTCGTGGCTGTTTAGAATGCGCCGAAAGAAGAAAATAGGCAGCCTGAATTCGATCCCAATTTTGCTGGGACGGATTACGAAAATCCAAAAAAATTTAAAAAATGGCGTTATATAAACGATTAGAAGTTGAAATACCTGCACACATGTTAGTGCCACAACTGAGAGTTTTAATGAGGCCCGAGATTCAGATGGCGATGGTTGGCCGAGTAGTGGGGAGCATGGAAGAGCTCGTGAGAATGGCCCACGAGGTAGAGTTACAAATTCAATTTCTACATGACGATAGAAGAATTGTAAGTAATCCGATGGGACAAGAGTTAGTACCGGCTGGACCGAGAGGAAGACCGCCGAATGTAGGTTGTAGTATTTGTAACGGAGATCATTGGGCACGAGAGTGTCCCAGAAGAGCCGTTGCAGGGCCAAGTAGGGAAGGGAATCGACGTCCATTACCCGAGATTAGGGAACATGGAGAACCTAGACCAGGGCCGGAACAGGTCCGGGGACCTAGGCAGCAGGAAAACTAGTTAAGGATCAGCGCACCGGAGCCAGCAGTGGATCCTTGGAGATGGGCTCCCTACAAGAACGACCTGGAAGAAGTGATTTACCATGTATCTTGATAAAGTATAAAGACAAAGAAATGACTGCGTTGATTGATACGGGAGCGTCGAGTTCCTTCCTCAGGAAAAGTTATTACCAAGGAGAAGCATTAAGAAATGGATAGAATGTTTGGCTGGCGAACGGGCAGCGAGTGTGGACTACGGGACCCACCGAAGTCCAGATAGAAATAGGAGGCCATGAAGTGAAAGTCCTGGTATATTTAATGGACGAGTTGAAGGAGGACTTTGTTTTGGGCATGGAATGGTTGGGAGAGGAGGAGGCCACCATTGACCATAAACAAGGAGGATTGTACTACGGAAAGCAACATAGAAGGGCTGTATATTGGCATAGGAGAAGGGATCAAGAGACATTATGTGAACCGGTACAACTCGACGAGGGAAACTCCCTTCCAGAGTGGATACCGCATTACGAGATAATTTTGAATGAGTTCCCTGATGTATTTCGCGAGGATTTGGCGCGCCCGTGTACAAACTTAGTGCAGCATAAGATTAAATTACATGATAATCGACCATTCCGGATTAAGAGGTATAAATTCTCACCAGAAAAGAGGAGAATAATTGCAGACGAAGTAGACCAGATGTTAAAGGCAGGTATTATCCGACGAAGNCGTGAGAATGGCCCACGAGGTAGAGTTACAAATTCAATTTCTACATGACGATAGAAGAGTTGTAAGTAATCCGATGGGACAAGAGTTAGTACCTGCTGGTCCGAGAGGAAGACCGCCGAATATCGGTTGTAGGATTTGTAACGGAGATCATTGGGCACGAGAGTGTCCCAGAAGAGCCGTTGCAGGGCCAAGTAGGGAAGGGAATCGACGTCCATTACCCGAGATTAGGGAACATGGAGAACCTAGACCAGGGCCGGAACAGGTCCGGGGACCTAGGCAGCAGGAAAACTAGTTAAGGATCACCGCACCGGAGCCAGCAGTGGATCCTTGGAGGTGTGCTCCCTACAAGAACAACCTGGAAGAAGTGATTTACCACGTATCTTGATAAAGTATAAAGACAAAGAAATGATTGCGCTGATTGATACGGGAGCGTTGAGTTCCTTCCTCAGAAAAAGTTATTACCAAGGAGAAGCATTAAGAAATGGAGAGAATGTTTGGCTGGCAAACGGGCAGAGAGTGTGGGCTACGGGACCCACCGAAGTCCAAATAGAAATAGGAGGCCATGAAGTAAAAGTCCTGGTATATTTAATGAACGAGTTGAAGGAGGACTTTGTTTTGGGCATGGAATGGTTGAGAGAGGAGGAGGCCACCATTGACCATAAACAAGGAGGATTATACTACGGAAAGCAACATAGAAGGGCTGTATATTGGCATATGAGGAGGGATCAAGAGACATTATGTGAACCGGTACAACTCGACGAGGGAAACTGTCTTCCAGAGTGGATACCGCATAACGAGATAATTTTGAATGAGTTCACTGATGTATTTCGCGAGGATTAGGCGCGCCCCTTTACCAACTTAGTGCAGCATAAGATTAAATTACGTGATAATCGACCATTCCGGATTAAGAGGTATAAATTCTCACCAGAAAAGAGGAGAATAATTGCAGACGAAGTAGACCAGATGTTAAAGGCAAGTATTATCCGACGAAGGTCCTCTTCCTATAGTTCACCGGTCGTGATAGTAAAGAAACCAGATGGTACAAACCGGTTCTGTGTAGACTACAGACAACTTAACAGCATTACGGAAAATGAGGTATCAGTTGTAGTATAACAACCCTAGGTTCGACAAAAATAAGTAAACGTAGTTGTGGCCAAAAATATGTGATCGTCATATAGGAATACCTACGTTGTGTGTATCCATTTTTTAATTAATTGTAGACTTTGTAGAGGGGATGTATGGTTTAATTATATAAAACAAAAGCAGAGTAAATACACCTAACCTTTATTTATATACAATTCAAATTAAACATGTGACAAATAGAAAGAACAACAAAAACATTAACAACCATTTAACATNTGGAATGGTTGAGAGAGGAGGAGGCCACCATTGACCATAAACAAGGAGGATTATACTACGGAAAGCAACATAGAAGGGCTGTATATTGGCATATGAGAAGGGATCAAGAGACATTATGCGCACCGGTACAACTCGACGAGAGAAACTGCCTTCCAGAGTGGATACCGCATTACGAGATAATTTTGAATGAGTTCCCTGATGTATTTCGCGAGGATTTGGCGCGCCCCTGTACAAACTTAGTTCAGCATAAGATTAAATTACATGATAATCGACCATTCCGGATTAAGAGGTATAAATTCTCACCAGAAAAGAGGAGAATAATTGCAGACGAAGTAGACCAGATGTTAAAGGCAGGTATTATCCGACGAAGTTCCTCTTCCTATAGTTCACCGGTCGTGATAGTAAAGAAACCAGATGGTACAAACCGGTTCTGTGTTGACTACAGACAACTGAACAGCATTACGGAAAATGAGGTATCAGTGTTGCCTCCAATACCGGATATACTAAAGGACCTTGGGGACGCAACTGTATTCACGACTTTAGACCTTAAGAGCGGGTACTGGCAAGTACCCATGGAGCCTGCCAGTACACCGATGACAGCGTTTCACACTCCGGACCGTGCGTTATATGAATTTGTGGTAATGCCGTTTGGGCTTTAAAACGCACCGTCAACGTTTCTTTCGCTTGATGGCAGAAGTATTATCTGGATATGTAAATCAATTCGTAAACGTCTACCTAGACGATATAA